TAATTCGGACACTCAATATGCTACTGATTATTTGGTACATGAGATAATGCTGTGTTTGATCGGTTGATTTTTGTGTCCTATCCTAAGCCGTAAGCTTTCTAGTTAAGAACGAAGTCTAAGTATTTCAATAAAAAACATAAAAAATATTTAAAAAAAATGTAAAAAATACAGACGAATTGAGAACATCTTCCTTTTTTTAAGTCGCTTAAGCAATCGTTATCTTGTTTTGATTTTTCTAAATACATACTTTATTTATATTTGGCTCGAACTGTCTTCTTCTTAATTCTCAGTGCTATACTGATTATCTAAAGCGTTGTGAAGCTTTTAAGATTTCAATAATCTGTCCCCAAGCGCAAGTTTAGGAAATATTTTGAAATTCTTTATGTCAAAAAAAGCTTTTATTCATTTAAAAAATGTTGTACTCTTCGAAAACTTCAAAGGCATGCACTTGGCTAGATTCTTTTCTCAAAAATCAGCAGCGTCTGTTGTTTGTCGAATTTAGAATTACACAAGAATAATGAATAGGCACATGATTTCACGTCAGCCAACCCAATCGAATTGTAACACCATTGTGCTGGAGGGGATTGTACAAATGTCGTACAATGCCAAATCTGAACACAAAAATGCGAAGCATTTGGCGACTATTTCAGAAATGCGCAACTAAATTTAATAAATTCCAGTTGAATGGACAGCAACTTCAAAAAACGTAATGAACGGAAAGGAGAGCAATTTCGAGAGCGGCAATTTATTTATGAAAGTAATTTTTAAAGGCCAACGCCCGGAACCGCCACTGGTCATTCAGTTAGAAAAAAATCTAAAACGTTTCGTGTTGTGGGGGGCGGCTCTACAGGCCTACAGAATTTTGCAGACGCAGACACTTTTATTTTAAGACTTATGATTTAACACTTTAATTTGTAGTGCCGAAATTCAACATAAGTCCCAAAAATGTATATCAATTAGCACCGTTCCGACCCACACACACACACATAAATTACGTATACGCCATGTGGCATTTAAGTAAAGCTAAAAAAAAGTTGGCAAGCTCAAAACAAAATGACAAATACACTCAAATATCTGTGTGTGTGTCCGTGTGTGTGTGTGCGTGTGTGTGTGTGCACATTCAGACCAGCAGTCGCCTTGTTGACCATCTAAAGCTATTCTTGCTACGTGGGCTTTAGTTTTTGTCGCCATCGAATGAAAATTCTGGCAAATTGTAAAGGCAACGAACAACAATTTTGCATGCAAATTGCTTTCTAAATAATTAAGTTCAATGTCATTTAGAAAATGAAAAATTAATTGGAACTATGTATTGTCGCTGCACATTACAGTTCTACCACTAGCTCTTGTTCTTCCTGCTGTATTGTTGTATGTGCAGCACATTGCTTTGTTTTTGGTTGCATGTTCAAAAATGTAATGCCACTTTCTCTAAATACATGCAATTAAGCACAGCTAACATGTTTCTGGTTTTGCTAATTCGCTGTAATTGCTTCAGCATTTGAAAGTAATTAGCAAATGCTCTGAGATGCTAGTCAGCTAACGGAATTTCTTTGATGGCGACAAAGAAAATATTCAAGGCAGAATTTTGATCAACCAGAACCACAATTGTGATTGACAGCGATTGAAATACACAAATACAAAATATTGACGGTTCGACCATTTTCCATTACTAATCGATTTTGCTTTCACACCAGTCTTGTCGACTCTTGAGAACACTGCACTAGCTCTTGGCTATTATGGAAAAGTGCGCGCGGACCAATAAAATGGTTGTGTAGTCAGAATTGTTAAGATTGCTTTAATTTATCAAACTCATTCATGTTTATATGTTACATTTGAATTTTAGTTTAAAGGTAATTCAGGTAGTTGTTTTGTTGAAATGCATATTGTGTGGAAATTTAAATAAAAGTCTATAGTTGGGTGTTAAATGTGAATTTTGATTAATTAAATTATTATTCATGTTATTTGTGCGCATATTAAAAGCGTTATCAAGTTCGTCATTTCATGAATCTTAAGATGACTTTTTAGGGATTATTCAGCTCTCGAATTTGTTCATATTTTGTTTGATAGACAGCACAACTGACAAATCTCTATAGACTAAACCTGATCAAGAATATATTCAGCATTCACGAGTATGTTCATAAGAGCAGTATGCTTTGTATACAGGGTATACAACGTGATTATAAATTAATTTATTTTATATTTTACATATTAGCACATACTGATTCGAAAGCTGTATTTCTTTAAAATATTGTAAGCCTCACGGTAAAACTTATTTAATTGGCTTTTAAATCAAATTTTAAATACAGCCATTTATCTTAGCAAACGTATAATTTGTATCACAGTAAACAACAAAAATAGTTGGACGGGTTAAACATATGGTTGTAAAGCAAAATCAAAGAGAACAAAGCGCATAGAAGAATGGATATACTAATATGCTTAGCTTTTTGATTGCAGAGTATAAAAACACCCAGCGCTATTAAAAGCGACGAAAAAAAAATACCGCAATGCCACAATAATTGTCAGAAACAAATTGTTGACTTGTAGCCAAGACAACCAGCACCTAAAAAGGCGGGGCAAGCTAGTTCCACCAATTTTTTTTTTTTTTTTTTGCTGAGTGGGCAATTTCAGTGTCAATGCCAGGAAAACAAAGGCAACAAACAGCCAGCACGTGCCGACCGTCAAACGCACAACCACACCCACCCCCACACCCAGCCCGATATCCGCATTCAGCACAAGTGCCAAAGCGGAACGTGCCAAAGGGTCACACGCATTAAAACTTATTGACATTATAATTGCCCGACCAAAGTTGAGTTCGGCTCTGCTCTAATTGCTCTAATCGCATTAGCAGCCAACCATTCAACCAACAAGCAATCGAGGGCCGAGAAGAGCCATTCTGTCCCTATTCCTAGCTACTAATTTACATTTGGGCGTTTAGTAGTTAAGAGGACAGCTTTGTCTGTACAGCAGTGACACCTGCAAGTAACGAGCATAGCCGGTGACGAACGAATGGCATTTAGAGAACAATGACCGCAAATCGCTGCTCACTTAATATGCAGAATCACAGAGAGATCCAGATAGAGACTGATATATAGAGAGGCACGCCAACGAGTGCCCAGCTCTAATGATGACCGCATGCGATTTATTACGGCTGCTGCACACAGATAACAGCCAACGAAATGCAAAACACGTATACGCCCTGTGGTCAGCATTGCGGCTGCTCCTCATTCATGAACACTGACTACTACTTCTCCTCCCTCTGACTGCAACACAACAACTTTTACACTTTTAGAACGTGAGATTTTATTGCTAAGCAACATGCAACCGCTAATGTTGTGGTTTATTTTGGTAAATTATGGCAGCAGGAATATGATGTACTTTCGCCCATGGAAAAAAAATATGAAGAATTTTGTATAAATTCCACAAAACGCTTGGTTATAAATTCTTTTAGAAGCTTGAAGTTGAATAGAGCAAGAGTTTTAAAGCTAGAGTTTGAATTTCAACAATTTCATTGCATTTTTTTAAAGATGTTCACTGTTAGTCAGCTAACTTAAGGCGACCACAAATCAGGACTTCAACATCTTAGTATCATCATCATTCAAATAGTTAAATATATTGCGGCCCTTCCAGCATCACAAAACATTTTACTAATAATAGCAATTCTGCCCAAAATACCCTCACGTCTGCCTTACGCATTATTTGCTGTATTGATTTTATGTGTATACCATATTTTATAGATATTATGAGAGGCCGAAATATGGGTGTGCATAAATTTTATTGCATGTACACCAGCCAATTGATGGTAGACTTATAAGTTGAGTTATATGTTGATGGCTCGCAGGTACTTGTGGGTGTGTGTATGCTTGATTGATGCCTTTGCAGGTGTAAGATATTTGACACAACAAGGTGTTGAGTACATGGACACATATCTGACATAAAGTACGCACTTAATTGATTTAGTTTTGATGTATCGTGACCCTGCACGTGCTACTGCTGAGGGCAAAGCAATTGAGCGCCTAAAATGACAAATTGAGAGCATTAGACTCATGTGACATTCAAGTGCTGCGATGACACGTGCCGCAAAACACTGATGAGAATACTTATTATATTTAAGCTAATGCTTCAGCTTAGGCCAAGAATAATCGCGTGGGTGCAATGGGAATAACAGTTTCCCAAGGCAGACTCTTCCCTGGAATAACACTGCAGGGAAAAAATGATTCGACAAAAATGTACAAAGCAGCTACGAACTGTAAAGAGTCTTCAATTGAAAGGTATTTCAATAATTTATCCAAAGCTAAAATATTGAAATTACAGAAAAATTAGTATTTTACAAAAAAGATAAGATAGTTGCTACTTTAAAACACATCTAACATTGAAATATAAAGCATCGTCGTTTCTCAGCTTGAAGACCTTTGTTGCTATTATTTACAATTACAATTATATAAACATAGAAATTGTCAAATAAGTATTCCCAAAGGTTCTTAAAATAACGTTCCATTTCGATTATAAACTATTTTATTTTTTACCAACCAAAATGAAATACACCTAATTCTGTTTTTAAGCGGTCTTTTTACACGGTTGTGATTTAACAAGGTTTGAAAATTAAAAATACTTATTAAATATGGTTACACGACTTTACTCCATTTAGCACGATTCATTTTGCATATCATCAATGTCTTTTTTTACACTTTTTTTACACGACTGTTTTTGGAACCAATCTGTTTACAAAATATTCACAAAAAAAAACTCATGGTATTAATCTTATTAAAACGCAACTAATGACAATTATTTTATGTCCGTAGTACTAATTTCATATATTTAATTCAATAATGCAATTATTTGGACTCTTTATTGTAAAGATACCTTGCCAGTGTAGTGTATGCTGCATAAAATGAAAGCATTATGTGGCAGATCAATAGAGCTTAAGGCACCAGCATTAGCTGGCCTCCATGCCACATCGCCTTGTACTAAAAAACTATGCCTTTTTTCCATTTCCTTCTTTACAGCTCGGCAGCTCGGCAGCTCGAAGTGTCAACGGACGCCCAACAGGCCCAAGTAAGCGAACGAACAACAAATAGAGGGCGTGAGGGGGAAAAGGAGCAGCAGGTTGCCACAATTTAATGCCAAGTCGCGGCACGGGGCAGGTGTGAGCCACACACACAAACACACACACACAACAGTGTAACCCAAAGTGCTTAACAGCATCACGACCTTAGGTAGCAACAACAGCACAAAAAATTGCGGCAGCAGAATTTATGTTACGACAAAAGTTTCGAAATAAATGCTTAAATGCTGCACAGCGTCCATTGTGGCCAGGAAACTGTTGCTGTTGTGCACCATGACGTTCTAATTGCCACAGCGAATGAATCGAGCCAGCAACGAACAAAACACGCAAAACTAGACTGCATTAAGGAGCCACCAACACCACCCCCCAATCAACCCAATCCTTTCGCATAATGAATGCGGCACAGCTGCTGTTGCAGGCAGCAACGACAAGGCTGGAACTGCCGGCACTCGATGTGGCATCAGAGCCACCCATTGACTACGATCAGACGCCGATTAGCATCGATCAGTTTCTGGCGGGCGTTGAGGCGAACAATGCTGTACGCTATGAACTGGCCGATCGGCCAAGCAGCACCACTATCCCAACCTTCATGTACGACGAACTAATGACGACGACGGCTTCTTTGCTGGTTAACCACAGTTTTGCGCCGCTTAACTTCAGCAGCAATGATTCGTCAACGACAGACACGCTATATCCGTATGATATGAACGATAATATGCACGCGAATTGGTCGAGAATGTGTGATGATGTGTACGATCCATCGCTAGAGAATAATCGCATTGAGTTTTGGGTATCGGGTATACTCATCAATTTCGTTGGACTGCTGGGCATACTTGGAAATGTGATATCCATGATTATACTGTCCCGTCCGCAGATGCGTTCCAGCATTAATTATCTGCTGATTGGATTGGCGCGCTGCGACACAATGCTGATCATAACGTCGATGCTGTTGTTCGGCATACCCTCCGTCTATCCGTATACGGGGCATTTCTTTACCTATTATAATTATGTGTATCCGTTCATTTCACCCGCCGTCTTTCCCATCGGCATGGCCGCACAAACGGCCAGCATTTACATGACCTTCACCGTCACACTGGAGCGCTATGTGGCGGTCTGTCATCCGTTGAAGGCACGCGCCCTCTGCACCTATGGACGGGCCAAGATCTACTTCATTGTTTGCGTCTGCTTCGCATTGGCGTACAACTCACCGAGATTTTGGGAGGTCCTGACAGTGGCCTATCAGCCACCAGATAGTGACGTTGTGCTGCACTGTGTGCGACCCTCAAGACTGCGTATGAATCAGACCTACATCAACATCTATATACATTGGTGCTATCTCATCGTCAACTATATAATTCCATTCCTCACGTTGGCCATCCTCAATTGTCTCATCTATAGGCAGGTGAAGCGTGCGAATCGTGAGCGTCAACGTCTCTCACGATCCGAGAAACGTGAGATTGGATTGGCCACCATGTTGCTCTGTGTTGTTGTCGTCTTCTTTATGCTCAACTTTCTGCCATTGGTGCTGAACATATCCGAGGCTTTCTACAATTTCATCGATCATAAGATAGCAAAAATATCGAATTTATTGATAACGATCAACAGCAGCGTTAACTTTCTCATCTACATCATATTCGGGGAGAAGTTCAAGCGCATTTTTTTACTCATTTTTTTCAAGCGCCGCCTGAGTCGTGACCAACCGGATCTCATCCACTACGAGAGCTCCATATCGAACAACGGCGATGGCACGACTCACCGCTCGTCCGGCCGCTTCTCACGACATGGCACGCAACGCAGCACAACGACCACATATCTGGTGACGACGGGCGGCAGCAATTCCCTCAACAATGTGCGACTGACTCAGGTGGGCGGCTCACCGGGCATTGTCAAAATTAAGCGTAACCGGGCGCCTTCGCCGGGTCCGGTTGTCTACTATCCGGCACGTGAAATGCAGCGCTCAGCGTCCACAACGAACTCGGCGACCAATAATAATACGGCACTGGGCTATGACTGGACCGTCGATGGCAAAAAGCTGGGACATGTCTCCTCAGGCTTCTGAGTGGTGTACATACTTATATAGACTAATATTGCTTATGTAAATAGCCATTTAGCGTATTTTGACTAAGGCCAGGCTTTATACTATATACGATTATCTATATACGGGTACTAATGCGTACTTCTAGCTGTGTTTTTGGGATTTAGGTCTGCGTAAACGCCAAGCGTTGCGTTACTTTGTGATAAGCGTTAAATGTTTTTCTTCCTTCTTACTCAAACTCTCAAGATATGGTCAGATAGGCAAATAATTTGCACACAAATTTACTTCATTTCTTAACTAATTCAGTAAATATAGTAAATTGGACTACGGCATATAATATATTTGTTAAATAGTGTGAATTTATGTGCAAATAGTTGCTTTGTCTCTTAAGCTATGATCAAAAAAGGCAAAGAATTTGCACACCCATTTGTACAATTCCACAAGTTTGTTTTAAATATTTGTCTTCAATAAGAACTTAACATGATTCTGTACTAAAATATATGTTTACTCTTACTTTTCAAAGCTCGCTTGTAAAATTCGTCGAATTTTTGTGAAATTAGTTTGTCTGCTTGACCGTATCACTACTCTATTAAACTCTGCTCCAATCTGCTCTATTGTATACTTTACTCTAGCAACTACTTTAATCAAATACAGAAAATGTGAAGACCTTTTAATTTTTCACAGTTTGCCAATCAATTGAATTTGTTTTCACTTTTGCGCCAAATTAAGCTGCAAAACTTTTCTTTTCGGGTTAAACAAACTTTTTCTTTAATGGTGTTACACTCCACCAATCGACCCACGAAGAACAAGCATACCAAGCATTTTGCTTTCTCTCTTTGTTTTCCCCCCTTCACCTCTCTTCTTCACCCCTCCCAATTTAATTCGCGTGTTTTTATTATGCGTTCGCCACTGCAAAACTTTTATTTATTGGCAACGAGTTTTGGCTTTTAATTAAATATCTCCTTGCAGTTAACTTGATAAATGATGCTTTGATGCTGGCACGCTTTAAATTGTATAAAACTTTTCAATTTTCTGTTATCGATAGCACTTCATATTTTGCAGAGTTCGCCTTTGGTCGGTTGGGTCTGGAAATATGTCAAGTTGTCAGAAAAGTTTTTAGCAGCAAACTTAAAAGTTCCGGTCACTGACAGTCGAAGAAATGTTGACAATTTGTTTTTATAGGCTTTTTCTTTTCTAACACCAAAGTAGCTCAATTTGATGAAAGAATAAAATAAATACACACACAGACAGACAAACAAACACTAATAAAAAACAAAACTCTATAAAAAGACATATTCAGGTGTTCGCAAATTGTATCAAAATATATAAAATACGAATTACACATTTGATCCTCTTTGTATTGTTAAGTGGTTTTTGTAAATACTTCCGACTTAAAATTTACAATGCTTACAGCCATGAAATTGCAAATTAAAATTAATTTAAATATATACATATATTTAAATAGTTTTAGTTTAATCTTAAAAATTGTATAGACAAATTTAAACTACATCGTTTACACAGACAGTAAACAAAATCAAATAAATATAAAGAGCTGAGCGTGAATAAAAATTAAAAAAAAAACCAACTGATGAATTCATACTTTGAATACATAGTGTTTCTATTTGAGCTGGGAAAGTGGTGAGAATACACTCCATACATAATAGCGCTTCTCTCCAGCCGATAAAATGATTCCATCAATTTGCACCAATTTGTTTGCATGGATTTTCAAATTTAATGCACACACGCCAACGAAGAAGACATTATAGTAAAAGCATAGTAGACAAAAGAACACACATAAGTATATACGTACCATATATATTTAAATTGAAAATGGTAACGAGCTGTTGTGATGGCCACTTAAAATTCAATTTACATTGCGAATCGGAGCCCAGCGCAGATGTAAGTATCTCTTCTATATATTCATGCATATAAAAATAATAATAAAAGATTGATGTAGCTTAACGGCAATGGGATGCTCTGTAGCCTGCATTGGGATTTCATCAAAAGCTCTACTTAAAACACTTGGCACGGGAACTTTTTTAAATAAATAAAGTTGTTGCTTAAAGATAAATTCATTGAAATTGTTTAAATGCTTTGAGGTTTTTCGTAATTAAATTTGTTGTTTCTTTAATGTAAGTAAAATCAGTTGCGTGTATTCTTGAATCTAAAAAACTAGAACTGTTTTTATTCAAATTCGATTAAGATTTATAAAATTTATCTTAAAGACAAATTTACTTAAAAAATATTTTTGGCTATTTAAGAACCGATTGAGCTTGCTAATAATTATAAATAATAATTATAATAATTATAAAATAACATCTTTAGGTTTTTTTCTGCTTCTCAAATTGACATTTTAATGGAATTTATCAAGCTTTCAAAGTTCTGCTGACATTTTAGAAGGCTATTGGAACTTCTTTAGGCCCAATAGGAAGTAACTGAAGTCGTACAAGTTCAATATTTTAAGGATTCAAAGATTCTATTCATCCCACCATGATGATCGTGAATATACTAGTTAGCTTTGTAGTAAGCTCATTTTTTATCCATTTTCGAAATTAGACGCATCGTAAAAGTTATTCCTATATTCTACATTTGAATGTAGCTATAGAAATGCTTCAACAAACGAGAGGTTTGCCTTTAATATGGTGCTAGGGCTATTAATCCAAAGCTGACAGCTGCCGACAACTGGGCGTGAAAATGCCGAATATTATACGGCAATAATAATTGAAAAACTGTGTCAAATGCCAAGCTAGTGCTGAGCGAGCGCAAATCTCAGGCTGCTACCTGACAGCTTTACATATTTGCTTATGCTAAGCACGTTGTCTAGATGTCGGCTTTGGTGTCGTCGCCGAAGCCAAGTCGTTGGTAATAATGTACAAGCACACAAAGGAATTTTAATAATATCCCGTAATCATAACAATAAGAACACGCACACACAGACACACAGACACACTTATTGCTAAAGTATTTCAGCACTCATGGTGCAGAATGTGTTGGAAGGGACTGACAGAAATATATATATAAAGTATACGAAGTACATATATACATAGTATGTACATCTTTTTGTTTGGCACACCTGCTAAATTGAATTGCGAGGCTTACGTGAGTGCAGCTTATAAGCGTACCATAAGTATAAATAAAGTATAATTGTAATAATACTACAATAAATGCATAACTAATTAAAGCCAAACAATTTATGTGGCCCACGGGGTTGGTACAACCCCTAAAGTATGCTACGAAAAATGTCATCCAAAACGAACAGTAAAACATCTTGAAATTGGCGCTACTTTTCTTTAAGCTGAGAAATCATGGCCCATTACAATGATTTAAAGAGAACACTGAAACGTACCTAAATGTCTAAATTTAGAATATGATTCGAGCTGCAGCAACAACATTTTTTATCTCTAAAGGTGAAGTTTTGTGATAGTATATGTAATCAAAAGCATTAAAAGCTTTTTCTTTTTTTTCAGGTGTTCCGTAAAATATTTTTTAATTTATTTTCTATATTAATTTTACTGCTATTATTACAATTACTTACATTAATATGTAAGGCATTTATACATGTATTAAATAGGCCTGTGCAGGATAGGTTGCAATAAAAAACATTAAATCATTCCTTTATATTTTATTTTTAGTTTCGTCCTACTGCTCTAAAATACACAGTTTAGCTAAAAACTGTTTAAAAAATTGACAGATTTGATTGCCAGATTCCAAATAGAGGCAGGGGATTAAAAAAAATTTTTAATTCGTGAAATGGCCAACTCGAGGAAGGTCTACTGTCCCATAGAAATGCCAGCGGGTTCCAAGCTGTTGTTTTTGTTGATGTCTCTGTTGCTTTTGTTGTTGTTTATGCAGCTGCCAAAACGAAAGCAGCGAACAAACTTTATTGTACTTGCCACATTTAAGTGTCGCGTGGCTTAACGATAATAAATCAGTTTGGATAATGTCAACAGTGAGAGGTCGTTGAGACGAGACACAAGCATCCTAGAAGCATACATACATATGTATATATACATATATATATATATATACAACTCTGCCGCCCAGCGTCTTTATTTTTAGTGCCCATTTGTGCGGTTTTGATAACTTTTTCTGACATTGCCAATGACAACAGCAACCAGTCTAAACAATTTGATGCGCTTTTAATGCCGACCGGATTATCGTTTAGCCTTAAGTGTTGATGAGCCATGGCTATGATGCTGCTTCCGAGGCCTGCCTTTGACTAATGATACAAATTTTGTTTTGTCACAGTTTTGATGTTGAAGTGTTGACCCTGTCATGGTGTTGTTTCCTAATTAATTAACTGCCCGCCCTTGTTATGCGTTGTCAACTTGAAGCCACCGAACAACTAACCATCGTCATCATCATCATCATCATTGTCATCATCAGCGTCTTCATCGATGATGGGGCACAAAACTTGACAATGTTTTTGTGCACAGTGTTGCACAAGGAAGCTAAAGCAACTCGAGCTTGGCTTTCATGTTCATGCTATGGACGCGATTTTATATTAAAGTAGCAGGCAGCAGCAGCAATAGTAGGAACAACAATGCCAGTAAATTCCCCAGGCTCTACTTTATCTGAAATGACAATGGAGGGAGTAGTACCGCGGAAGGATGGGGCGGAGGAGGTAACAGCGCTCCTATCTGCCAGCAAGAGATCTAAAGTTACTTGCGTACGCTGTTAGCAAAATTAAAGCCAAAGCCGAGTATACCGTGCGCTGTTGTTGTCGTTGTCGCAGTCACGCACACATAATTAGCTTTGAATGGCCGTAATTGCAAGCCAGCTTGTCTGTCCACCCGTCCAACAGTCAGATAGCCGACAATTGTGTGGGCGTTAAACAATGCACGGCCTATGAGGCAGCAGCCAACACATAGGCCATGTGTCAGAGATAGGCCACCAACAACAAAACGAACACAGAAACACAAAAGGAGCCACAAAAAAAAAACTCGCGTGGCGGCGCTGACAAGTATGCTACAGATTTTGTGGGCCACATTTTTAACCGCTCGAGTCGAGCCGCTCGACATATACCGCACAGTGGTGCAAATGCTTACAGTAACCACAATTTCAAGAAAATGAAATTTACAACATTTTATTTGTTGTGCTTAAATGTCTTTATTTTTAAAATTGTATTTTGAAATCTTCGCACATTATAAAATATATTTTTTTCAATTATTGCTTAAAACCAGTTTTCAAAAATTTCCTTGCATAAAGAAATCAAAAATTGGTTCAAGAGATTTTCATTTATATTTTGTATTTTCTGTATGTTTTACAGAAAACTTTGTCAACGACACCTCGAGACATTTCTTTTTTTAATTGTATTTAAAAAAGTTATATTTAAGTGAAAGCGAAAGCTCGAAAATGTTGCATCGCAATGACTTCATAAAAAATAGTGTCTAATTACAAACATAATTAATAGAGGAAAAAAAACATTTAATAATTATCTTAATACACAATGATTTGTAGTAAAATTATTTACCTATAAACTTCCGTGGCAATTTTATTTTACCCGAAGACCAGTCGCCACTAAACTGAACAAACACATATAGCATGTGTAACCAAGCGAAATTGTTGAAATGTTGTAACTAAACATAGTAACCACCCCAGCCATTTTACTAAAACCCTAAACTGTAGTGTTGCTGCCTGCTTACATTAAACATATGTAAGTATGTACATGTATACAACAACAACTCTATCATCGTAGCAATATGCTGAACAAGCAAGAAATCAATGTTATAACGCGTCAGTTCTTGATTAAATAACGGATATTAATCAATGTTTGCAGCACAAACAAATCCTGACCATTGTATTATTGGGTATGAAAAGACAGATCGACCATATAAATTAGCTTAATCAGACTTAGTGCCTAACAAAATATTTTAAAATAACTTCAATTTAAAGTGCTACTCAATTTCTTTGCTGGCAGGCAAGATTTTCAATAGACTTTTTTTTTTTAAATTCGACTTGATTTGCAAATTTATTTTTACAAATTTTGTGGACTCCTTTCGCCATTTTTAATTTCCTTTACGTTAATTGCTTAGAATTATACGCCAAACGCACTTTGCTTAATGAAGTTTTAATCGCAAATGAGCGTACATTTATTTCATAGCCCAAGCTACTCAAAACAATGGTGGGCGGAATAAAGACGAACGATTGAGAGCTCTCTGTGCTTGAATTGGTTTACATTTTAGTATAAAAATTAATAAATATCTATGTTCAAAGACTTAATACTAAGTTTCGTGTGAGAAAAAAGCTTAAATACGCATTATCAGACCCAATACCCGGCTTGACTTGAGAACCTAATAACTACAGAGGGAAAGAATTTATAAATATTTAAAATCAATTGAATCGGATTGTTGTTGAAAATGAGACAGGCTTTATTATATAGCCATATTGTAAATTTTTACACACACTGATCACTCTTGTATTTATTCCTTAATTCACTTTCCATTAAACGTTTGACCGAAGAAATAACGTAGTGAAGTCAAGAAATAAGTTCATAAATAAACGATGGCGTACTTTAATAATTAGTTCATACTTAAATAACAGCTTATTGTAATTCTCATTCTACATTAACGTTTTCACTAGAATTTATGACCGCATGCGGACTGAACTTATAAACTTTGCTTATTAATTTTTAGTCTAAGAAAATTTAATTATGCTTGACTGGCGAATCAAATCCTCATTACTTAGTATCTAACATCGTACCCGTGTATCTGGATTATTCTATTCATCCTCTAAAGAGTCTATCTCGAAAACTGCTGACTTAAATTTCAAAATGAAAGCCCAACCGAAGCTCTAAATTGTTGATTCCGAAAGAGATATCTATGCACGCACTCCACACCATTGTGTGGCAAATGGATTTTTGTGTGTTTTAGCCTCTTGCCCTTTTCTTTTCAGCCTAAAACGTTTGATGGGCGTGTGAGTGGATGTGTGTGTGTTTGCGTGTGTGGACAAGGCAGGACCCTTGAAAACTGCCCTAGGCCTCACAAGCTGGCCAAGTGTTGTGAGCTCCAACTACTTACAGTAGTTGTTGTCTTTTGGCTCGTATTGTGGTTGCACTTTCTAGTGCGACTCTTGACAAGGATTCACAGTGCTGAATGAGAGCAACGCTTCTAGGCCGCAAACATTTCAATGATAGTGGGGAGGGGAGGAAAAATGAAAACAAATTTGTTATCGACGAACGCTTAGGGCAGGGGCTAGGGATCGAGGTTGATATATTGATTTTTCATGGCACAAATAATTTTGTAATTTGTATGCACAGCGGAATCCCTTTGCCTCCCCCTCTCGTCACACTCACATAATTTAAAATCTGCACTGAAACATTTCTAGATTCTGTCGAAAATTAAAAACACCCTTAATTGCGAACACGTTTTAAAATTAAGAAATTAAGAATTTAGACTCTAAATTTTAAAGGTCAGCTTGTGTTTAAGAAAAATTGTATGTTATTAATATATGTTTAAATTACTTGCAGCCCTAATTCCAACCTTTTTAGAAACGGGGTGGTTATTAATGTTAATACCTTTTTGTTAAAAAATAAGGGCGATAGATTTTCTTTAGATTTAGACTTGCTTCTATACTTTCTATCCCTTTGGGTAGAAGGTAAAAAAGAGTCGTGTTCCGTTCTTCTACATAAAAAAAGCCCAAACAAAAACTTATACAAAAACTAAAAATTATTTTAAATTTTTTTTTAATAGTCAATAACAACTTGATATTGAATCAAAACCCATCAGCGTACACTTATATTTTGCAAGAAATTTATCTGATTTTGATAATCAATAAATAATATAAAAATAAGATTGTTTTTAGCAAATACCATTTTCTTCTATATGTGATAGTTATGGGATTGTTTCTCTATTGAAGACCAAATTTTAATTATGTACAAAGAAACTAACACAAAAACTCTTGAAGGTCGCACACACTGGGTAAATATGTATCCGGTATCATGTTCTTCTTCTTGTCATCATCATCCTCGATCAGGGCTTGCGCCTCCTTTAACGAGCTAACACCGGTGCCCACCAACATTGTGTGGAAACCGCAGTTACAACCAAAGGCTATGTCCGTGTGAAGGCTTTAGGTAGGAGGCCAATTATTATATAATTATCATCAATCGTTCTGCCACTTACGTGTCCCCGACCATGAGCGTCGTTTCCGGCTTAATGACGCCACACTGTAGCAATTCGGCCGCCATTAGAGGATTCGGTTTCCCCAGAATTAGGGGCTTGCGTTTACATATGGCTTGTACGGCTGCTAACATGGCGGCCGCACCGACAATAATCCGATTACCCACACCTATCGGATAGGAGGCATCGACGCAAGTGGCCAGAAAGAGTGTCTTTGGATTCTGCAAATAGTTGCAAGCTCGTATGATCTTTGCTACCGAAAAATTATCGTCCTTGGCCACAACAACAGCGCCTACATCCTCATCGATTTCCATTTCGGCTGCGAACTGTTTACTGGGCACTGTCAGCTCATCTTTAATCTTGAACTCCGAGCATATGCCAACCTTGGCCAACTCATCGGCAACACCCTGCTCTCCAATCACGTAGACCTTCTTTTGAAACTGCCGCGAGGCTAAAAAGTTTGCAATGGACATGGACGACGAGATCAGTTCCTGTTCTTTCAATTCATAGCCAAAGCCCAGAGCCTTCTTCACTAGAGTTTCGGTCAATGCCTCCGAATTATTGGTTGCCACAAAGGTGTTCCGACCCAGAGAACGTATCAAGTTAAATGTGTCCACAGAACCCTTAATCGCTTCACCGAAGCTCCACAGCACACCATCTGCATCGAAAATAATTGTCTCGATGCCACCAAGCCATTTGCGAACGCGCTGTTTGGGAAGCTTCTTCAGATTCGTACAGCTCTGTTTGAACATGACCGAAGGCTAAAAGTTGGAAGGCGACTAATTGAATTCTAAATTTTGTAATGCCGGATTCAAAACTGATTCCTGTGCGGTCAGACATTTATTTTGACTTTGAGTATTAAATACTTGACGTATGACTATATTTGGATATGAAAAGCTTAAGGTTTCCGAAAACATAAAACATTTTTATTTTAATTTTTATAAGGCTCCAAATACCTTTTATCCATACTCTTCAATGTCGTTGTAGTCCATTCTGAATGCTTCCTTTAGAAGTTTGTCTATTGGTTGTGATCGCAGATATAATCATCTGGTAATAACTTATACAAATGTAATTGTAATGCCTATTGGAAATTGGAAATAACGTATTATTGTGAGGTATTGTTGACCCATTGGGGCTATTACAAAAAAATAAATTTCACTATTTCATGCAATATAAAGTTGTGTTGACTCAAAAATCCTCTTTTTTTATCCAAGACTAGAAATTATGTTTGATTATAGAATAGTTTGAACATTTTATAAAATATAATTAAAGATATATTTTTATCAACAAGCGGTTTGCTGCAAAAATGTTCGGTCAGCTTCTATTCTCTTTCAGGACTTTTAGTTTTAAAATTTTCAAACAAAAAATATTATTGTTTGGGGGAATTGAGAACAACATTTTCAGGCATACCCAAGCAGAGATTTACAAATTTTTGGAATTCTAGTCATACTCGTAGCATCTAATCCAATCAAAATAAAAAATTATGTTACAAGAAGAAGAAAATGGACGAAAAGAGAATACATATATACTGGTACTTAGTGGGGGTTTGCTACGCGGATCCTTCAGTGTATTACATACAAGAATTCCAGCCAACATTTTGAATTCCCATTTCCCTTTTGAATATCAATAAAGATCAATAAAACAAACTCATTAGATTGATTGCTTTTGGATTTTTTTCACTTTCAGTTCAAATCTACAATTTTCAGATTTATTGAATCAATGAAAATGTATTTACTCAAATCAACCATTGCGTGAAGGTAAAAATTTGAGCAGATCTGAGAGCTTAGGCACATAAAGATCGGGCACTTGCTGATAGGCACGTGGTTGCTTTGAGCTCTGCAGCTTTTTCACATCATCTAGGGTGCTGACACCAGAGCCCACAAGGAGGGTTTGAAAGCCGCAATTGTAACCAAACTGTATGTCTGTATAAACGCTGAATAGAATTTAAGAGATTAGTATAATTTCCAGAGTTCAACCATGGCACAATGGGGACTTACGTATCACCGACCATTAGGGTGCGTTCCGGCTTTATGTTGCCCTCTCGCAACAACTGATTGCACATATAGGGATTTGGTTTGCCGCAGGTCATGGGTGCACGTTTTGTGATGGCCTTTACGGTGGCGACTAGGACACCCGCGCCTGGCACGTAACGCCCCTTGGCCACTGGAAATGCTATATCACGATTGGTAGCCAAAAACATGACACTCGGATCGGTTAGGTAACAGGCGACTTTTGTTAATTTGGGCACACTAAAATCCCTATCCTCGCCAACAGCTATAGCGCCCACATCTTTATCTAACGGCATCGCCTTCGCATATTCATACATATCGGGTCCAAACATGACTTCCTTGCCAATGGGCAAGTGTTCTATGCCGACGGCACGCAACTCGGCACCGATACCCTCCTCACCCATGATATACACCTTCTTCTTGAACTTTTTCTCAGCCAAAAAGCGAGCCAACGCCTGAGCAGAAGTCAACACCTCATGCTCCTCAATCAATATTCCCATATCCTGGGCCTTCTTACAAATGCCCAGATGGGATTTAGTTGAGTTATTGGTGCAGATATATGCACGTTTCCCCATAGCTCGCAGCGCATTAAATGTGGCCGATGCACCCTCCAGTTCCTTGTCGGTGCGCCACAGCACACCATCTGCGTCATAGATGATCGCGTCGAAGCTCTTCAGCCACTGTTGCACACTGTACTTGTTGAGGGTCAGAAGCTTGCAGCAGCCCTTTTTTTGCTGTTGAACGGTGCGACAAAAGGCTAAATTCATGTTGTTGTCTGGAATCGGGTTGGGTTGGTTTGGTTTGAGTTAAACGAAAGTAAGTTTTGCTCTGACTTTTCAATGCCTGTGTACTTTTGTCTACGTAAATTGGATTCCTTTGGTGCCTAAATCACTTGCAACATGAAGCCCCTCCACGGACAATTGCCTCTTTGAATGACTGACATTGGGACATTGGGGTGGCGACGACTGCAGCCACATTTAACTCGCTAAACTTTGCACATTTATTATTTTGGCATTGCTCGAGCTGCCAGCAGCGACGCCAACTTGCAAGTCGCGGGCACAACTTTTAATTGCGTGAAGTGAAGACCAAGACACCGAAAACAGGGCTGAAATCACTTCAAAATTTTGGCGAGTAGTATACTATAAACAAGAAGCTTAATCATCATATTCCGGTTCACAAGTCTGATTCAAAGTCGTTCTCATGCAGGTTTCTATTCAAATGAGGGTAGAAAATAGTGCGCCTTAAAAAGTATATTTGCATACATAAATTAAATTTAACGTATTAAATCTTAGTAGCTTTAGGGAAATAAATACCCGATCCCACTTCCACAAAAAGTAATTAATAATATATGATAAATAATAATATATTTTAAAATATGTCTTTTAAAATTTAAATTCATATACTGTCATCTCTTTTTTAAAACCATTTACACAAAGAAATTAAAATAAATTTCTCAAAAATTTCCAAATAATATTGCTAATCATCATGACGAGACGAAACGATTCAATCGTCTGTTGAACAGCACCCGATAAAATTGTCATGTTATGGCCGAAACTGCAAGCCAATTCGCAACATAATAATAAATACGAATTAAAAATCACGAATCATGTCTAAAAAAAATTATCATCAAAATAAAAACGTCTGTTCCGTCTGTTGCCAGTCAAAGGCTAACTAACTGAATTGCCAGTTTGTGTGTTTATTTGATTCTTTAGTGTTTTCAACTACTTTTGTGCAACACTGAAAATAGTGTTTCAGTTAAGTAATTAATTCTGAATCTGATTCTGAAAATTAACTAATATTTGAAATCAGCAGAGTGGCGACAAATTGTCCAACTTTCTTCGTCTTTTCTTCTCAAAGCCAACACAATTTTTCCAATTATTAATTTTATTTACCTTTATCAAGTAATTAATTGACAATTCAAGTTTGCCCTTAACTTTAACGATTAATCGATTAAATTAAAATTTTGATTTTTAGCAAACATGTTAAATGTCGGTTCTGAATCTCTTCTTTTTACTTCTCTAGGGAAAGCACACTGTTCGAAAGACTTCAGATAGTATGTTTATATTTAAGCATATTATTAAAAACTTTATAAGCTTAAATGAGTTCAGACCATAGATTGAAATGCGGTCATCGATTAGACCAGCAGCGTTATTTATGTAATCCAATAATTGTTTAACTCCACGTTATTTAAGACTCACAAGCGGCGAGAGTTGGTTTGGAATGAGGATACTTTTTTATTGTCGGGCTTGCTCGACCATAACATTCCATCTTGTTTTGGAACTGGCTCACTCAAAGATGATTTCAGCCCTGGAAGAAACTCAACACGGCTTTCAGCACTAATGAAGCGCCGCCGTTGTCCCGTTGAGAGCGCGGCCCAATTCCCCTGGGTGCCGCCACTCATGTCTCACAAGTGCCACACTGTGGGTTGGACACAGTGGGTTGACAATTGTTGTCCGTGAATCTGCGCTCGAGCCCGTCTCGCCCCCTCGCGCCAATTAAAATGGCATTTAGCCATGTTGCTGCCATCGGTATTTGTGTGTCCGATTTTTAAAGCCGACTCTAGCTGGTCGCCGCACCTTCGTATAAATTCATTAAATTCCTTTGCTCGCCCTAGGCAATTCAGCTCCGTAATGCGCATAAATCTGCCAAAATTTAGCGGATTTCTTGCAATTGCTGTTATTGTTGTCGGCTGTTTTTTTTTCGCTATTTTCCTTTTGCGCCGAACCGCATCAAATAGCCGCAAGCCTAGTAACTGGCCAAATAGCATTTCCGGCACAAATATGAACGCAATTAAGGCCGGTGTCCAAAATTGCCGGGCCGTGCCCAGAAATGGGGACTGAAGAGCAAATGTTTGGTGGAAAGGGACACTAGCCTACCCCGAGGCGAACACAAATAGCCAACGGTGCAGTTAAAATATAGCAAACAACGCCCTTTTCTGGTTTGTTTTCAAACCAAACACATTCTCTATCAGCTATCGGCATTTACGCCTCGAGCAGCAGAAAGGAATTTCCCAAAAAAATGTTAATGCTGGTATTAGCTGCTATTTTAATTAGGTTTATAGTACATTAAAAATGACCAAATGTCTCTATGTGTTTAAACTAAAAAAAAAACAAGGTTGTAAGTACAAACAATTTACAAAAATAAATTATCTAAAAGAGGTATAGGTGTTCTCTTTTATTTATGACATTATGCCGCTAGAATGACTTACAACGAAAACTAACGAAAAAGTTTACAGCCTGGAAACAAATTTTAGTTTTCGCATTTTTGCTTTTCGAAGCTTACAGTTACCCAAAACTATCTACCTAAACTACTGATATTTCGATCATCCAGGGTTCGGAATGTTATTCCTACCGCGCTGAAGAGCCCTAGTCCGTTTCCTGTTTGAAGGAAAGATATTTCCCTTCCCAGCTCGTTTGCAATGTAGTTACCTTCTATGTTTCCATATACAAGTGATAATATGAAGTCGTCAAAATATCTACATTAATAGGTGATTACTTAGCATTACTTACTTAAACGCCGCTTGGATCTCCGAGAGCACGGAAGTCGGCCTGCCACTTACAATGCTTGTAAGAAGGTATCGATAAGTCTACTGTAATTTATGGAGTAGAATTATATTTAAAGATAATTTTCCAGGCCCCACATTTACAGTGGAGACAGAGCAGCCAGCCTTGCATGGCCCTTGCCTATGGGCACTTGAACAGTTTTTTACAATACTTTTATTTTTTACTTCATGGTATTTAGCGATATTGATTTAAGAATCATTATAGGAATATTCAATAAATGAATGAAATTACATTTTTAAGCCAATTCACATCAATCCACGACTTGCTAAAAATGAGTCAGTATTTGAAAGAAAATAATCCTCGGTGTCGTTACACATATACTTGTATTTACATAATTTTGCAAAACTTTTCAAATTTCTTTTGTAGCAAATATATTCAGTCGTATGTTTTGCAGCACCAACATGAATTCTTGGATTAAGGTTATTCCATTTAGTTTGTTCTGTGGGCAGTGCTGACAAACTTTTGCAACAAATTATATAATTTCGTTAAATAACATTAACATTTTTTGTAGGCTATCGACTCACACAGCGAATGCATTCTTCTGCCATGAACTTTGGACATATTGAAAAATAGAAAAAAAAAATAAGTGGCAAATGAAATTTACACAAAAAGTTGTTTGTCAAACTTTTTTATTCGACTCCTCATTGACGCTGATGGCAATGTTGCGATGCCTGCATATAATATATACCTATGTATATATAGTTGGCGAACCATGCCCACTGGCCTCTGGGCTAATGTGCTACATACTTATTACGACTAAAAAAAAAACAGCAGCAACAAAACTTTTTTATTAAGTTTACAAGTCTAAGTTAATTTCTTTGACGTTTGCCTGGGGTCTGTTTTTCTAATTAATACCTCGACAGCACAGTGCGAACAAAAGTTGGTCAAAACAAAAACAGCAGCAACAGCAATAGCAACAAAATGAAACAAATTTAACTTGATTTATATGCTAATCACATGGTTGCAGCTCAAGGCAATTACAGGAGCAGCAGCAGTCGTCGTCGCCACCACCACCATAATCGTCATCCTAAATATCGTAACTTTTAGTTACTTAAGCAAATTTCAAGTTGGCTTTTACATGATTTGTATGAGACAAGCAAGCACTTGACACTTTTGCCCTGCATCAACATTTATTTCCATTAAACTATGCAACAAAGAAAAACATTCTACCTTTTTCTTTTTCAAAAATTATAGTTTTTAAAGTAATACACAAACAGCTTCAAAGAACGAATGAAAGCTTTCAAATTAAAATTAAATTAAAATACTAAAAACAATTTATGACAAAGAACGAATTTCAATTTTATTAAATTATGTACATATCTGCAATTAATTATTAATGTTTTAAACATTAACTAATAACTGTATGCTCTTGCCTTTTATGATTTAAAAATGTTAAAAAACACAGCTTCTAGTATTTTGGACTATTTAGTATTCAGTTCTTTCTTTAAGATCTTCTTCTTTATAATAGTCATCATTATTTCCATAAAATCCTTCAATAAAATGCTCAAGATTAAAATTTTCGGAACCTTTTAGATGATATTTTTTGTTTTAGAGATAAGATAAGATTGAATAGAAAATTTATTTTTGGTACTGGTTTTTTATTTCTGCAATTCTTTTGAAGCAATTCTGCTGCTCAGTAATCTTTGGTTTTATTTAAATGTTTTATCAAGATGTATCCATGTAGCATATATTTTTTAAATTTGATCAGACACCTTACTGTTGCAGCATTTCGAATAGAGAAAGTTTATATATCTATAGATTTTGTTGCACAGTGCTATAAGCAGATGCCACAGAAAGAAACGGTTCGATGGCCACTTTAAATCATGTCTGGTATTTGTATCAACATTTCAAGATTTCGGCATCTACAGCATCGTCAGCTCTGACTGCTTGTTGTCTGACAAACAGTTTGTCTAAGTGTTTGTTTGATGGTTGCAATGTTTACATAAGACCACAGGATGAGCTTCAAAAGCCAAGTTGTTGGCATGCTCAACAAAATTAAAACCTTGTCGAACCATAAACCAATCGTCTCGGAAAAGCCAAGCGCCTTGCACTCAGTAGAACAATTCAATATAAAGTCGGAACAAAAGAAAGAACTAAAAATGACTCGACAAGTTGCCAACTACTTGCATAATCAAGTTCTGGCACGTGCCACAAGGCAGTCAACTAAATAGCAATCAGTGTTCTGCTTCGGGCTCCACCAACAGGTAAATGCAAGGCACTCCACACAGGGCGTA